CACCATCTTCCAGCGTCTCTTTGGCACGATCGGCTACCTGTTCCCTTTTCTGCCTCGCCTTCTCAATCGTCTCTACTCTGGTCGCGCACTACAGCCCTCCAGAGATACCGGTCGCCGTCCGCTGAACCCCACCGACACCTCCGCACGCTTCATGCGCGAATTCGAGGAAGAGTACGGCGTCACACACGGCACCCTGCCTTTTAGCGAAAGCGGCTACGCGCAAGCCTTCGACCTCGCAAAGCGCGATCTCAAACACCTCCTCATCGTTCTTCTCTCGCCCGAGCACGACGACACAGCGCCTTTCGTGCGCGACACCCTCCTCTCACCGGACCTCATCGAGTACATCAAGGAGCCCGCCAACAACATTATCCTCTGGGCCGGCACCGTGCAAGACGCAGAAGCATATCAAGTCGCCAACGCTCTCAACGTTACTCGCTTCCCATATGCAAGCCTTATCGCACATACTCCCTCGGTATCCTCGACAGCAATGAGCAAAATCGCAACATCCGCAGGCCTCGTGTCGAGTCAGGATTTGATCAGTAAATTCCAAACAGCAATCAACTCACACAAAGAAGAACTGGATAGACTACGAGCACAAAGACAAGAGCAGCAAGTCAACAGGAGCTTGCGCCAGGAACAGGAGAGTGCTTACGAGCGTTCGCTCGCACAGGACAGAGAAAAGGCACGCAAGCGGAAAGAAGAGGAGGCAGAAAAAGAAAAGGTAGAGAAGGAACAGCGCGAGCGCGAGGAGCGTAAAGCAGATCTCGCGAGGAAACTGGCTCAATGGCGGCGCTGGCGAGCTCAGAGCGTGCACAGCGAACCTGGCGCGGAAGAGAAGGACATCGTACGTATGAGTCTTCGCATGCCTTCTGGCGAGAGGGTAGTGCGAAAGTTCCGCGCAGATGCCGAGCTGGAAGAGCTTTACGCTTTTGTGGAATGCTACGATCTGGTCAAGGAAGACGCGGTCTTGGAGGAGAAAGAGATCCAGGAGCCTGCAGACTACGAGCACGTGTACAAATTCAGACTTGTGTCGCCAATGCCGCGGGAGGTGTTCGATTTGGACAAACCGGGCAACCTGAGGGAGCGGATCGGTCGGAGTGGCAACTTGATTGTTGAGAAGGTCATTGATGAAGATGAGGAAGAAGACAGTGAAGAAGATATGTGATTACCTAGAGAAGGTGAATGAATCAATCCATGAACGGGCCAAAAGCTCTCGAAGAGCCGCCTGTCATGAAGAGCATTCCTACCAGTCCATTGCATTCTTTTTGGGCACGCTGTGTCTAAATGTTTATCACAAGACGACCTCTACAATTCCAACACCACGACACGGCAAACGTGAATTGCTCAAGCTTCACCGGAGGACTAAGCGTAAGA